TCAGAGACTTAACTGATTGAGCCACCTGGGCGCCCCAATTCTGATGATATTTTGAGGCACAGTGTTGTATTTTGGGTCAATAAAATTAAAAAAAATTGTGATTCTCAGGTACTTTTAACTAACAGGTCTGACAAATTTTTTTCTGATCTATTAAATAACATTACTATTTAATGTCCATTTGCAAATAATGTAACTCTTTCCTAAAATCTTGAGTGTTTGGAAACTTGAAGGACTTTATATCATCTGTAACTTGAAATTTCTCAGGTAATTTGTGCTTAACTCATTATGGAGATTTTTTTAATGAGACCAATTTCTTACACTAAATCCTGAAGAATCCTACATACTATATCTCTTCCTTCAAAGAAGCTTTAATCTCTATTGGACTTCTAAAATAGTTGACCATCTTTAAAACACTGCTAGTCACACCTCCTCATCATTTTACAACAGTCTGAGTCAAGTTCCAGCTCATATTTGCCTCATGTGAGAAACTTTCCCCAAAGACCTGCCATTCCTCCTCATCTATCTTCACCTTTTAGCCCATACACAGTAGGTTTGTGCTAGGTGACCTGTTATTTCTAGTCTCTCTTCATTACAGTTTTTCACAAATATATGGTGCATGTATATTTTTTCTATATTTATCTATGCCTTCAAGAAAGAACTTCCAGGGGCGCCTGGGTGACTCAGTTGGCTAAGCATCCAACTTTGGCACAGGTCAGGATCTCACCACTAGGGGGTTCGAGCCCTGCATCTAAGCCTGGAACCTGGAGCCTGCTTCAGATTCTGTGTCTCCCCATCTTCCTCTCTCTAATAAATGAACCTTCCCCCACTAATTCTCTCTCTCTCTAATAAATGAACATTTAAAGAATTTAACTAATAAAATAAAGAAAGCACTTCCACTATCCTTCTGTCATACATAGTGGGAACTCAATACATACTTTTTGCTCAGGGACCACACTCCATAATGTATGCTAAAACTCAAAGCAGTTTGTTCTTGGCGGTTCTTGGAGGCCTCCAGATTCTCAGCCTTTTACAGAGGGCACTTCATAAGCGCACATTTTACTATTGCAAGCCATACATATTTTAGATACTGGTCTTCTATAAGGCTGTCCTAATTGGACCTTGCAAGTAATTTTATGTCAAAGAAATATGGGTATGTTTTTCTTTCTGGATCTAGAGCTTCCTTCTGCATGTTGAATGTAACAATAGACTCTTCAAGGGAAAGATATAGCTTCATAAACCATCTTTAATCTGGAAACAAAAATCAAAAACCAAACCAAACCAAACAAAACCCTTCCAAAGCCTTTGGTGAAAATTTTTCCTAAGGCTATTATTTTTAAAAAGTGTATATTTGCCTTGCCTTTGAAATGCCATTCAGGCTGTTCCTGGAAGTTGCTTCAATCACTATTTTCTACTTTACCCTAATGTGCTATAAATAGCAGCCTTCCCTGTTCTCCTCTGGGAGATTTTCATTCTTTGATAAAAAAATCCACCTTTCTTTCTGTGTTATTTTGTGTGGTACATGGGCACACGGAGTTTTGTTTTTTTCACACACATTGCCTGGTACCTAAGTGCTTAAGATTTACTAAATGAATATTGAGCACACATACTGTTTTTTAAAAATTAACTTGTCAATTAATGTGTCATTAGATAATATCTAGATTACCAGAGTTCTTAATTTCTAATGAGGGTCTTAATTTTGACAGGGTTCTGTTCCTAAAGTGATGATTTTCTTGGATCCCCTCTCCCCATGAAGAAGCTGCATTTACTTGTATTGTGATGACTATTACTTCCTGGCTGTCCAGCAAACATGTCTTAAACCAATTCTCATTCAATTATTGAGACTATGCTTAATACATTTCCTTCCTAAGTTGGTTTCTGAACTACATGTTCTTAGAAACAGTCTTTTAATCTATGTAGAAACAGGTATCTACATATATTAACTAGAGAATGCATTTTACCAGTGTCCTTGGTTAATGTAAACACACTTTATTTTCTGCCATTTAATGTTCGTTTTTTTTTAATTTTACCTTTTTGATTGGATGGTCCATAGATTGAATTGTTTTATCATCTTTTTTATTATGTGATTATTAAATTTTTACATGAATTTCATAGTAAGTAGATTGCTCTTAAGATTCTTATCCTGCTTTTGCCGGTTTTTATAAATAGCAGTCTGCTGTTTTCCTGTCCTCATCTTTTCTGTAAACTTTGCTTATTCTCATGGCACTAGATGTCTACATAGCTAGTTCTAGCTGGGCTCTCAGTTGAGGTCATTACCAAACAATTAACTTTATTCACTTTGTGTATGAGGCCTCCAGGACTGGCACAGAAACTTTTCCATAATGTGGCTTAATACATTTTGATCTTTTCTTAATAGTTTTTGTCTTGTATTTATTAATTGAACATTTATTGCATGCTCATTAGATACAAAGCACATATTTTTAGTCTCTGGGACGGGAGATGAAAGGTGAATGCACCTTGATCTGTGCTCTCAGGGAATTTAAGATTTACTGAGAAAATGTCTGCAGAAAAAAACCAATACAAAGTAGCTGTTCTAAGAAGCAGCATAAATACTGGTACTAATGGAAGAGAGAAGGCAAATATTTCTAAGAGGTTTCATGGAAAAGGTGGAAGTTGACTTTTACTACCCGAGACAGGCAGATAACAAAGTAGACACAGGACTTTGGCGGTGGAAGCCTGGAGCAGGTGCGTCACTGAGTAGCAAATGGAGCAATGGTCACCCTGGCTGAAGGATGTGTTATGTGAAGGGGCAGAGCTGTGGCTAAATCATAAAAAGTGCACTGAGTTTGGGTGTAGAGAACCCTGAATGCCAAGTTAGAGATTTTGAGCTTCCTCATAAGCAGTAGAGAAAAAGGAATGATATTCAGAGACATGCACCTTATTACTAATAAAAAGAACTACCAATTTAAAACACACACACACACACACACACACTCAGATTGGCAGTTTTTAGAGGCACACTGGGTAAAATGGGTGAAGGTGGTCAAAACGTAAAACTTCCAATTGTAAAATAAATAAGTCCTGGGGAAACTTTGGTCTAGGGGATGTAATGTACAGCATGGTGACTATAGTTAATAATAATGTATATTTGGAAGTTGCTAAAAGAGTCTATCTGAAAATTTCTCATCCCAAGAAAACAAAATTGTAACTGTGTGTGATGATGGGTGTTGATTATACTTATTGCAGTGAAAAAAAAAAAAAAAAAGAACTACCAATTATTGTGTGCCTAATCTGCTCACTCATTGAGCTAGGTGTTTTGTGTCTAACCTGAACAATAATGCTGAAAGCATGTGTGATGTTATTCGCATGTTACAGATGGAGAATTTTTTACTGCAAGAGAGAGATTAACCTGAGATGTGGCAAAACAGGAATTACTGGGGGTTGAGACTGAAATCCAAACTATTTAGCAGAGGATCAATCAATATAGCTGACTGAACATATGCCATTGTCTCTTCCTCTTATTTCATTGTTCTAAAATTCACACACACACACACACACACACACACACACACACACACTGTTTATTTATTTTTGAGAGACAGAGAGAGCAGAGGAGGGGCAGAAAGAGAGGAAGACACAGAATCTGAAGCAGGCTCAAGGCTCTGAGCTGTCAGAACAGAGCCTAATGTGGGACTTGAACCCACAAACCACGAGATCATGACTTGACCCAAAGTCCAAAGTTTAACCTACTGAACCACCAGGTGCCCCGCAAAAAAATCTGTTTTTAAAAATTCACATGCTGGCAACTGGGATCACAAACTATGAGGAATACTTGAAAAGTAAAAGGCAGGGTTCACAAGTAAACCATGGCCTCAAATGCTTATTGGAAAGGCCTGTTATGACAGGTGGGAGTTCAGGTAGTGACCCAAGTCTGGAGGCACTAAGGAGGGGCCATGAAGTAAATGCCAAAATATCTGATGAAGGTGTTCTTGTAAGAGGAGCCAGGGGTCTTTACCTCCTGCAGTTGCCCTCCAGGTCAGACAGTGATAGCTATCTCCATAACAGGAGGGGCCCCTTGTGCCCGAGAGAGCAGGAAGTGCCACAGAAGCATGACCACCCCCAGGAGTAACAGGAAGTACTTTATTCAGAGTTACCACCTGCACATCCCATCAATTAAACTGTCAAGTAGCATAGCTAACTCCCTTTCCATAGTCAGTAGGTATAAACAGTTGAAATATTCACACAAAGCTAATAGGTAATCTCAAATAAAAAGAGATCTATAGACAGAAATTAGCAACAAGTTGACAGGAACAAACTCCATTAAAAAATATCAAATTCAGCAAACAAGAGAATTTTCTTTGAGTACTTACTGTATTTTTTCTGTACCTGTCTTCTGATATTTATCATTTTCTACAACTTCCCAATTTCTACCCAAACACAGTTGACTGCTCCCATGAATGCACACACTTCCTCATTTCTTGCATTGAGCTTATAAGTCGGTCTCCCTAATATCCATTGACATTAACTTTCATTTATACTATCTGAATGTTGGTATACAACATTATATACAACTATATGTAGACTTATATAAAGTCTCACTGAAGTCAGACACTGATAAAGTTGAATACCAATTCTAAGGAGTTTTAGAACATCAAGACTCAAAATTTATTCTTACTTTTGAATAAAGTAAAAAGGCACTAAGAACAGCAAATTTTTTAGTTTACTAAAATTCTAACTTTAGAAAGCTATGGTAAGGCAGTATATTTCAGTATGTGTTACAAGTCAGGCATATTTTCTAATGGATTTTACACATACACTTGCGAAAACTAAATATTCGCAGTGACTAATCTTATTTTAATTAACACCAAAGAAAATAATAGTGGTTGACGTGACAAACTATTTTCAGATTTTCTTTTTGTAACTGGGGCAGTTGCCATTCTGAAAGCTGTGAAAAGAGCCACATATGTTCATCACCTAGAGCCACTTTCTTTTAGGAATGAAACTGACTGGTTATTCAAAGATGAAATAAACATCATACTCACATTTCGTAGCCATCAACTTTTCAAAAGACTGGGCCCACTGTAACACTTCCTCCAAAGTAATGCTTTGAAAAGAAACAAAAGGTGCTCATTGCACCAAAATAATCTCAAGCTTTTACTGAATTAAATAGAAATATATGATCTTGAGAATAATATCACAATATAGCTAAGCTCTATTTCTATGTGGTTTTAAATGGAAATTTGTCTTTCTGTGATCTTTTACATCTTATTTTTACTTTCTAAATTGTTAAATTTAAAAAAAATTATGAAGGTAATGTAAATTCGAAAATATGATAAAGTTTTACAAGATAATGATCTATAGCACCCATGGTCCTGTAACTTCCCTATTCCCAAATTACTACTATTAATATTTTTTATTTCTTTTTAGTGTTTTTGTTATGTGTGTCTGTGTTTTACCAAGAAGCAGCCATACTCTGCATGTGTATTTGTGTGTGTGTATACTTTGTGAGTGTGTGTACATATATGTATATATTCACTTTTAATAAGCTTTTTGTATGTCATCACAATTGTCTTAATAATCATTTATTATGTTATAAGTTACAATTATAGATTTATAATCATTGATAGTCACTGAGGAATACTGAATATTCCACAAGGGGGCATTCTATAGTTTGCACAATTATTCTCAATTGAGCATTTTGATTTTTTCTCATTTTTTAGCATAAAAACTTGTGATTAAGGCTTGCTATGCTCAAATAGGGTAATTGTTTAGGGGACTCACAGAAGTAGAATTAAAGTGGGTCGAAAATGCACATTTTTAAGGTTCTTCGTATGAATTGCCAAATTGCATTTGGGTTTGCATTGTGTGCTGCAGTCACCAGCAATGTGTTTGCCATTTAAACTATTAACCTCTTAGAGTTTATCCACAAAGCTTATTTGCATGCATTCATATAATAAAATTAGTAACTCTATATCTATTTTATGTAGGTATTCTCTCTATTATTTGTTATAATTTTTCTATGTATTGAAGGTTTGAATTTTTATTACTGTGAATAATATGTAAATAAACTGTATGAGAAATCATTTACAATCTCAAAAATATCCGTGAAAGATACTGGGTTTGAAGCTTCATTTCTGTTCATTTTTCTGGGCTTTGTGAGGTGAATTGGCAAGGGACTATGTATTCTTACATATAAATCATTTTATTTTCTCTCCTATAAAATACTCAAGGCGTTCATTGCCATTCAGTTTATGATTGTTTCAGTTTACAATGCTTCACTCTTAATTTTCCCATTTTCAATAACATCATATAATCAGATAGCTCTAGATCCAAACAAGCACTGTCCATTGGCTACTTTTGGTATAGTTCGCTCAATAATTGGTTTTGTGGGAACAGCCACCAGCATTAGTAGATACTTAACACAATGAAAGAAGATTAGTTAAAGAGGTTAAAAAATGACCTAGAACATGGAAAAATATCAAGATCTTAAAAAGGTCAAATATCTTTTGTTTTCTACAAATTCAGATGGCTCTTGCCAGTTTTAGATGGATTGTGTACATCAGCATTGAGGCTTAACAGTATACTGCTGGAAAGATTGCTTAAAAAAAACCCCAACATTTCCATGAAATGGTATCTGACACACTGTTCTTTTCTCTTATTAAGAACTTTAAAAACAGTAACCTCAAGTAACCTTTTCCATCCAGGGAAATGGTAAGTGCTAGGTCAGGTGTGTGGCATGCCTGTCTGTCCCACCCATTCTCATTATATAGGAAAAAAGAAAATCTACAACATGAGTGAAGATGCCACCATTGTCTGAGCTTAGCTTAAAATAAAGTGTTGGTATTTTGTTGTTGAGAGAATTCTTCTGCCTCTAAGGTTCATGAGATTTATGGAGATAGATCATGACTGGAGTGATTATGATTGGTATTAAAATTGTGAAATGAGGGATGCCTGGGTGGTTCAGTTGGTTAAGTGACCAACTTTTGATTTTGGTTCAGGTCATGATCTCATGACTCATGAGTTCAAGCCTGCGTGCATCAGGCTCTGCACTGTCATAGTGTAGAGTCTACTTGGGATTCTCTCTCCTCTCTCTGCTTCTCCCATGTTCTCTCTCTCTCAAAATATATAAATAAACTTTTAAAATTGTGAAAACAAAATTTGATTTTGGTTTAATCACATCTGGCTTGTAATTTTTTCCGAGTATCTCACAAATTTCATACTGTCCCATGACTATTCAGGTGTCTGTATGCTAATAATTCTAAACACCTCTGTCCCTTCACCCACCTGGATTTCCTAATAAAAAGCAGTGGATGTAAAACGGGAGCATTCTGAGGCCTCGTGTCATTGTGGAAACAGGAATTAAGAGTGTTTGGAGTGTGACAGTCCTGAGTTCTAATTCCAGTGCTGCATTTAATAACTTTTGGTTTTACCTAAAATCTTTGATCCCCTGTTTATTATCTATAAAATGGGGATAATATCTATCTCTCAAAGCTATCTTGAAAATTAAAGTAGTTCATGAAAGTAAAGCACCTAGCAAGTGACTGTTATCTACCAGCTTGCCATGAATGTGAATTCTCATTCTTTGTCCTCTCCCTTCCCTGATTGGGCAGGAGGGAGAAGGTCTGCAAGGCAAGTAGAAAGACATGTGAATGGTGATACTCTATGGGAGAGTCATCAGCAGAAGAGAAGGAAGCTATTCCCAAATCAGCCTATTTCATCTTCCTCTTTGCATGTGCCTGTTCAGTAAAGCAGCCTCATCTGGTTGTTTACAATGCTGAGCTTTGGGCCTTATTGTCTTTCCAACTACCACTGTAGCCTCCTTCCTACCTTACACAAATGCTTTTAAGTGTTTTTGGACATTTGGGTACTAGGGGATGGGAGCATGCATGCATTGCTCTGACCTAGCAAGGGAGATGTGGCTACGATGGAGTATCCCATGTGGGCTAAAGTTAGGCACTCTGGTTAAACTCATGGGAATCCCTAAGGTGGAAAATCAATTCAAATGGTTTGTTATCTACCTTAGGCATTCTGCTTTCTATTTCAACAGTCACTGTTCCCATCTAAATGGCTACATTTTTCGTTTGGCAAAATATCCAAGAGACTCGGGAGTTTGGTAAGCATTTGGTTACCTTACCAGTCTCGCTTCTTCCAACTGGGTATGAAGTTTCTGGCACTTTGTAGATGGAGGGTTTGAATAATTAAAAAGTATTTTGGATAAAGAACCTCATTTTAACATGAATAATATAAAACATTAAAAAAGTCTCAGAGTATTTGTTCATAATAGACACTGTAGAAACATTAAACTTGCCTAATTCTCAGGTGTAAACCATCTATAATGAAAATGAAACCTTAATGTAATACATGATTGCTCTTCTGGCAGACTTACTCATATGTAAATGCAAACTTTACATTCTGAACAAAAAGATTAAATTAGAAGAATAAGTGTGAACCAATTTATCATGTGGTAAATATGCATTGTGATGGCCGTAGAATTTAAATGCTACTTACTTTGATGGAATCCTCTTAGATTCATCTCTGCACATCTTGCAAATCCAACAATTCTGCCTGCTCATTTTTCTAAAGCAATAGAGGATATACTTAGTATAATTTAGTCATTTAAAATAATTATATGCTAGAGTCAATGTCTCAGGAACATCCAAAATTATAAATCATGAACAAATAAGCATGGGTTTTTGAGAGTAATAGAATACAGTCACTGGTTGGAACAGGGAGGAGAGAGGAGAATAAAAAGACTCATCTCATAAATATTTTTTAGGAATGTAGGTGCTTAGAGTCGGGACTTTAGAACCCATCTGAGCCACTTATTTGTCATAATAGTGTTTAAAAAAATACAGCTTACTGAGAAAGATCTTCCCCTTTGGGGCCCACCAACAACAAAGTCAACTCCCAAGTCTTCCCTTTTTGGATAATTCAGTTTTAAAAAAAGCTCTCAATCTATTGAATAAGAATTTGTATCTTTGTCATTAGCCACATAAAATTGTGTAAAAGGATAAATAAAAAATAAGCCTCCTTAGGGGTGAATTCTGAAAAGGGGATTGCTTACCTGGTTTTCCTCCACTCTTGGCAGTATGACCTTGGCTTTAAAATTCAGGTACAGTTTACTCAGCCAAGGCTTTATATAACAATGTATGTTATAGAAAGTTTTAAACTTAGGACTTTGAAAAACAACTCAAAAATTTAAGAATATTTAAATTTGCAATTTATAATGAGAGCTGAATATATTTTGCTAAACATTTATGCACACTTACATATAATGAATTATTAAGGATAACAGTGAGTTCTTATATATCAATCTTTATTGATTCATTCAAAACATCTACTGAACATTTGTTATGTGCCAAGTTCTGGCTACCAGTGATCTAGGTAGATCCTGTCTTTTCCTCTTCCTGTCTTTGCTAGCAAGCAGTTAAAGACCATGTGATGGGGACTCTGAGACAGGAAGTTCAGGGGCCTATGAGTACACACAGGAGGAGAAGCTAACCAGCCTTGGGGGTGGTTAGAGACAGCATCCGAGTAAAGTAATAGATGACAGCATCCGAATAAAGTAATAGATGAGCTGGACCACAGGATGTGCAGGAATGTGCTGAGTGACGGGGATGGGGCAGCTTGGGCAATGGGTCATGTCCTAATTGAGGAAATGAATGTAGTCATCGCATGAATATAGAATATGGCAAGGAAAAGGTTGAAGGAAAAGGCTAGACAGTTAAGATTGGACCAATAATCATGTTCAAAAATGCTCATTGCAGCAAGAAAGTGATGAGAAATTAAGTTGGAAGATAGGCAGAAGCTGGGCATGTTAGATCATACACACCATCAGTTCCATGATAAGACACAGGAAAATCACTGAAAGTTTTAAAATAGTGGAACAGACAAGTTAACATTTGAGATTGGTTCTGTGAGTAGAACTGATTGTAATGTGCAAGAGCGGGACTGGAAGACTAGTTGGGGGGGTGCCTGCAGGAGTGCAAGTGAGGGTATTCTAGGCTTGGATTCGGAAGGGGCAGGAGAGATGGAAGGAAGGGGGTAGATTGTAGATAGGGGGAGGAGGAGCTACCAGAACTTGATGGACTGGATGTGGAAGGTGGGAGAAAGAAAGGAAACAAGTTCAGGTGAAAGATTTGACTTCAAGGTTGAGGTGGTAGTTTTTTATAAAACACATAAGAGAAGCCAAAAGAAAAGATAAGGTGATCCCGGAAGAGAGCGTGCACTGAGAAAAACAGATTTCCCAAGACAGACGACTCAGAGACAGACTGAGAAAGTGGAGTCTGGGGGAGGACAGTCAGAGTAACGTGGTATCAAAACACCAAGGAATGAGTTATCAACAAGCAAAAAGTGGCCAGTTGAGTGTTAAGAGCTGAGAAGAGATTAAGAGAACAAAGGGCTGAAAAATATCTATCAGATTTGCTAACAAGAAGGTTATCAAGAACCTGGGTGAGGGGGGTTTTGGAAGAACAGGGAGGGCAGAAGCAAGAGGGGAGAAGAAACAAGAGGAAGTGGAGACCTGGACAGATGAGGGGGTACTTACACTTCCTCTCTCTCCTTCTTCCCTCCACCCCTTGCTTTTTCCCTTCTTCTCTCCCTTTCTTTCCTTCTGATGAAAACCATCGAGCAAATAGTATATATGTAAACTATGGGAGTATGCTGTTTGGCCATTCTGGCCTGTACATCTCCAGGAAAATGGGTTATGAAGTCTCCAGTGTGGGTGACATGCTCTGAGATTGGCAAACGGTGTCCTTGGAGAAAAGTTACAGAGATAGGAGAAGGGAGGAAAATCAATAGGTTTTTAGGTTTCTGAAAAAGGAAAACAAACAAAAAAAAAGAACGAGAATTCAGACTGTGGGGGACAGGACTTTAAAGAAGTAAGTGGAAGTAGAGGAAGAAATTACTGTTTGCTTGTAATTGGAGTGGGTATAGATCTAAGTATATTTGTAGTTATGGGGATAAGAATTTATGGGTGTTGTGCAAAAAACAAATAACCCAGTGAAGAAATGGGCAGAAGATATGAACAGACACTTCTCCAAAGAGGACATCCAGATGGCCAACAGACACATGAAACGATGCTCAGCATCCCTCCTCATCAGGGAAATACAAATCAAAACCACACTGAGATACCACCTCACGCCAGTCAGAGTGGCTAAAATGAGCAAATCAGAGAA